GGGAGTCGGCTTCGGCAAAAGCAGACAACAAGGAAAGACTGAGTTGGAGATTTCACCAAGCTATACGGCTTTGCTATCTTATCCTACACCGTCAGGATTAAAAATCCTCAACTTTACGTTGAGTGAAACGTTTCTTTGCAAGTTTTGCTAAGTAAACGCTCGCCACCGGAAGCCCTATTTGATGGCTCTTGGATTGTTAGTGATTTGTTTCAAAAAATGAAGAAACTATTGCCACTTTACAAACAACTATGTGAAAAATTGGCTACGAGCAAACATTCCTGTGAGATATCAAGACACTAAAGACCTAGACAGTTCTTTTGTTCCTTACGGAAACCCTACGGAAATACTACCTGACAGAGTGCCAATGTAGCGCTCTTACGACATTACAGCGAATGTGACTGATGGTGAGTGAGACAAGAATAATGAAAGCTAATTCTAAAAACTTGACTAACCTGTGTACTCAGGAAAACAGCGCGTCAGTGGAGATCGCTTGATTTTCTCTTCGAAAAGATCTTTCTTATTCAAGAAAAGAATAATGGAAGTTTCCGTAAACCATTTGTTGTTGCAGATTGAATCGAACAACTTCATAGATTCTATCATGCGATTCTAAAACCGGATACATAGAACAGATATATGCATATTTCAGAAGTGAAAGATGAATGCCAAATGCAAGCATTAACGAAATTCGACTAACCATCTCGTCATCTTCAGCCAAGACCATATCGTATTCACTCATTGCAACACAGAAAATGATGGCTGTGACACCTTCAAAGCAGTGAATCCATTTTTTCCGCTCGCTCCGCTGTCCACCAACGTCAAACATTCTGGAATTCAGAAAAAGTTGTAAGCAGAGATTACAAAATAACGAGGTCTCGTACGATGATCATTAGTCGCCGTAAGCTAGCAGACAGCAAAAAGTTAATTGAAGGTAAGAAAAGTGAAGACGAAGACTGTTCTTACTTGAAATGCAAATCCTTGTACGTGAAGTGAGTCTCGACAATTCCAGTTGTTTTAACTCGAGTACGTAACACGTCATCCTTGAAACAGTGCCATTTCATTCATGTTAGACATACGAACAACTTGGTACAGAACCTGTGTGGGTATGTAGTTGGGTTGGGCGATTCGTTCCAGTGAATTGAGATAATATGGAGCAGAATCATTCAATTGATACTCGCGTGATCTGAAAAAAAGCCAAAGAATATCTGAAATTCTCGAGCTCATACTTGACTAGCTTGAAAATGTCAAAAAAGAAAGAAAGAGAAGAAAGATAGTTGTTACTAGCTGAGTGTCTAATTTCAGTCAGCGAAGAAAGAAGAAGAATTCACCTTAAGAAGCATTCTTGGATTCCTCCATCTGCCCATAACCGTTTCATAACGCTGGCCAGATCAGGTGGAAGCTCACCCTAAATCCTATGATGTTGCGCGAACAGGAGATGGAGTGCGGCTATTTTCAAATTGGAATGTATGCACAGACGAAGTTATTGTCAGATCAATTTGTTCCGTGCAAAGGAAGAAAAAGAAATATGATAGCTTAGGCTTTTTACTCGGAGCACGACATTCCACTTGAACTTGCAAGGAATACTTCAGGGAAACCTACAAAACCCTGACGTCACGAGAATCCTTTGCATACCTGGGATTTCCTCGTCATGTGAAGATAGAAAGCAAGCTTACAAAAATACAGTGACGATTTCCCGCTTTTTTGTGCTAATTAATATGTCAACGGTAGTCAACTAAAGAGAGCATACCTCGTCACAAGTTTGGCTGATATTGAAGAACTGCTGCGCATCGTCAACACGACTTGGCGATTTGAAGTCGATTCTTAACGTACCCATTGCACGAAGTAACGCCACCATTGACTAGAACAGAGTATAAATAGAAGTCTTCAAGCATTAAGTGAACCGCTCAAAAAAAAGGGTCGCATAACCCAACAACTGATCATTTCACGGCGATACATCCAACAGCAACATACAGGGGAATAAATTCGCTCTCCCTCCACTTTCAAAACCCTACTTACACTTGCTTAATTCAAACTGAGTGCACCCAACTGCATTGGAGAGCACAATTCAACCTATCAGGTAGCTTCATTATAGTATTGGACGTGATGCACGGTTCGGATTCAGCCTCAACGGATCGCACATCTTTACGATGTCATGTGGAACGCGGGTCGGAAAAGGCCTTGCAAGTTAGAGCTACTGTCTCCAGGAAGCCATTCCATCAGTTAACCGATTGAAGAATTATGTAGCAGCTTCAGAATGGAGCGATTACGGTAGGCCTCCTTGAGCTCGACGGTGATGACAGATGACGTCATATTCTGAAGACGGTGGGGCAGCGAAGGAGGGCCTGATTCTGCTTATGGGGGGACATCTAAGGAATATTTTGCCGTATAACTTCCATAACAGCGGCACCCTGACGAAGAAGTTTATTGATGTGCGTCATGGGCAAAGTGACTTTTTTTGCACCCCCTCCCCTTGTACGTGGTGACCTAAACGTGGACATCTACATATGTATGTAGAAGGAGAGCTTTAGACACTCTTACAAGATCGATTTTTCACACAATGTGTTTTGCTTTAAATACACCAAATTTCGTCGAATTCTTGTTTTGAAACACCATAAAACAGCCGGATACAGGGCAGCGGCTAAATCAGCGCCGAACGATACCAGGAAGCTTGCCGGGGAATGGATGGGATCTAAGGCTAAAAAAAAGAAGGAAAGGTTTCGGGGTGAGCAGTTCACGTACTTGCACCAAAAGTTGGAGTGTGAGAGATCACAGTTGCTATGACGACTCACGAACAAGAGCGCAGGGAAAGGAAGTACCTAGTTCGGTTCCACTATCCGTACTCATCTAGTGTAATTTCTCTAGCTCTATCTACTTTTCTCTCTTATGATTCTATTCCTGTTTGATCTATTGACTCCCCTAGCATGAGGAGAAGGAAGGACCCAAGAGTGATCAAGTTCTACGACATCAAAAGAACACCGCCACGTTGAAACTTCTCAAGACACCAATATCATGGTAATTAAAGCAAGATGTCCGTCTTCAGAGCACATCAATGTTGCAAAATCTAGCCGTGATTTATTACATTGTAGAGAGAAAAGTGGGAAGGTCATCAACCGAAACATGACCTCTTTATCAATGAGTACCACTTTTGGCCGCTTGCAGCGAATCTTCGGAGATACCACTCCACATAACAAAAATCCAAAGTTTGGAGAAGACATATTTTCTATTTCCAGAGAAATTGATGCACAAATGCTCAAATATCGGCGCTAATGAATCATTTGTGAACACGTTCAATGTTTGCATTTTCTTTTCATATCATAACACATTAAGAAGCAAATGAATGTGAGGACGAATCTGTTCAACATCACAAAAAGAAAAAGAGACACAGCAAAGCTTTGATAAAATTGCTAAACTCATAATTATAATTTATTAATTTTCTGATCGATTTTTTGTGGTACGTTTCCACCATAACAAATAAGATTCAATCGAAACTATGGTTAAGGGACTGTGGAAAGACAAAGTTCCAAATCCTCATCACTGTTCCCTAAAATCCATGCTGTTCAAGTCCCCTTTTGGATTCCTCCTTGGAGGACTTGTCACAAACAAAGCAGTCATTTTGTCAAATGTTGAAATCCCTGGGGACGAAATCGCTCCACTCTTCCATCACATCTTTACCCTTTACAAAACACTTCCACTGGCAATCTCATAACACATCCTCGAAACAGATGCCCTCGTGCAGTTCGAGGCTTGTTACATTCTCATAAGATATCGATAATAATAATTCAATAATCTCGATCTATAATACAACACATGCGGATCACAATAAGGGTATGGGTATTGGCTACCTACCAGCTATCGCAAACCTATTCTCAATTTACTAACACATTAACTATTCTGTGTTCATCAATCTCTTGATTGGAATGAGTCACCCCTGAACACAACTAGGACTAAACAATAAGCTGCGTATGCCAGCCCAAGTACAAGCCAATGTTTTCACCTTCCCAGACAAATCTGGCCACCTAATTAGTAGACCCCAAAGGAATAAAAGGCTTCGTTGGCCTGGACTTCCTCATTATCCAGAATTTGACACCTGGACCATGCACGTGATAAACATTGCCATTTGCCACTACACTACCTCAATACTCTACTCAAAAATTACCAAGGGAACTTTGCTTTGACAATGGCAACTTTGATAGGTGAAAATTACCGCTTAATACAGTAGCTACTCGTCAGTGAGTCTTAATGAGCTTCAAGGGGCAAACAAGCCACAAAAAAACGGCAGACCACCTCAAGAATAAACAATAAAAGGTTGGACTTTATCATCAGCCCCTTGAATTAGCACCGGTTTTGTACGCAGAGAATTTCCATCAAGCAATCACAGAAGAACGGGTAATAAAAATAACCCTTTTCTTCGAGCAAAATTCAAAACAAAATGCGCACGAATACAACGAAGTGTAAATTTACCTGTATAGTGTTGCTGAAAACAACCGGCCGATATTGTTTTCGTTCCTCATCGCTATATCCAGTCTCGTGAATGATCTTCATTTGCTTCACAATGGTACTCTTCCCAGATTCACCAGCTCCCAACAGCAATAGCTTCACTTCACGTGCCGCACGTTCTCCATCAGCTTTCAACTGTAAAACAAAAACTTGTAAAATCCTAACGGTGACAAACTGGTCGTTCTTAATGGGTGAATTGTGAAAATGAAATAAGTGCTTAGCGGCGCAATAAAATTTTTCAAGGTCTCCGTTGACATTGCACTTTCTGAGCGAAAGAACGGAAATGGAAAAGGAGCATTCCTCTCCGGTTTTACTAATTAATAACCATTGCAATTCAGAAAAAAAGCTGTCGCTACAAAAATTTCTAAACTTTGTCGTACATCTCACACATTTGCCGACCGTTGAGAGACATATTTAGAAAGAAACAAGTAAAGCTGTACGAGTGACTGTTTGAGTTTTATGCCTGAATATAAATATGAACTTTGACAATCAGCGGTCTTCCAGCTATAATTTCTTCTTTTTTCTTAACGCTGCCTTTTATAAATATAGATAATTTGTTATAACCCATTAATTAGCATAATTAATGCGATCAGCAGCAGCAAAACCAATGCGCAACTAATTTGAACATTAATTCATGCTTAACATCAAATCAAGGCTCCCGAAGTACCATACAAGTTAGGTCAAAAGGTCAAGCTATTCAACTAATTGCAGTTAATTGGCTCCTACACATTCAACTAAGGTGTGTTTCGAAGGTTTCCGACGTTAGGGGAAATATTAGGACCAGAGGATATATCACTTGTCAGAATCAAAGCTTTGTGTGAATGACAACTTCATGCGAAGAATAGGCACAGTTAAATTGACACGACAAAAAGAGTGCAGAAATCAGCATGTTTCGCAGAATTCTGAACCTAAATTCATTTGGGATTCAAATGAAATCATCACTAACGATAAGACGATTAGTGTTGTTCTCCCAAAAGTTCACTGATATGTGAAAGTTTGCAAAACAGTTGAATATATAATGCCTTATGGAATTATTTCATTTCATGGAGCCACGAGCCGCAAATGTCGAAAAAAATAACAGCGAAGGAATTTATAGCCATTCATTTTCAATGAAATCACCTATGGAATCGAGGGGTCCCATCCAGGGGCCGAATTCAGTCGGGGTTGGGGGACGAAAATCCCTTTAAATTTATTTGTTTTTAACGATATAGTTTCTTCATTTTCAGTGCATGTTTACTTTGACCTACATACATACATTAAATGTAGGCCCTTTATCAGGACAATCCCAGTTGGGAAGACAGAGAAAATTTAAAGGGATTTTCGTCCCTCAACCCTTGGGGGAGGGTTAAATCCGGCCTCAGAGAGGGGCATGCGCTGCGACAGTTGCTACCGTCTAAGGCCGATGTCAGACTGCGAATCGCGCGATTCGCAAAGTCTAACATCGGCCTAAGGAAAGTCCAATTTTCGCAGGGAAGGATCTCCGGAGTACGTGAACCATTTCCAATTCGTTTTAACCCACCCTGGAGCGTCCCTCCACTTCAAAAATTGGATTACTTTTGAGGGTTGAATTGCCGCACCACGTGCCCCCCCCTACTGAATTAGTCTCGAAAAGTTTCACGGTGGAAGATATAGGATTATAGAGAGCAATTAGCAACCTGTTCATCGATATGCTTCGAACGAAGCTTCGCGTGTTGATCTGTACTATTCACACAGCCCATTCTGAAGCCCAATGGGTGGAGAACTGCTTCTTCTAAAGCTGAAGTTCATATGTTATGGAGAAAACGGACAACGGAGATAAGCAGCAGTACTTATCAGAAGTGAGTCGAACACACGAAGAGGGCTCCTTCACGAATCCTGATCAATACCAGAAAAACAATTTTGCGTCCAAAAGTACATTCACGAAATGAAGGGGCAAAAACTCGATTGAATGCGCCCCGGACACAAAAAGTGCCAGAATGTAATTTTAAAATCGTATGGTCAAGACAAAGAAGGAAATTCCATTAACGGAGGCATTGAAAAACAAATGAACAGAAAGCGACCTTGGAAAAACAGAGAAAAACTGAGTTCTCTGAAAGGACTGGCTTGAAAAAGACTAGAACAGACACAACTCTGAAGCGGGAAGCGCAAAAGTCAAAACTAGACACTTTTGGGATTATTTGCACTTCTTGGGTTATAAGAACCAGAGAACCTAACTTCTCCAACGAAAAAAACAAACCTAGTACGGAAAACACTCCAGAAAACCCTCATTGGAGAACAAATATCACTTTAGGTAGTTCACGTGGCATTATAATGAGGGTTTAAAAGCCACATATAGAGTTAATCCACAAAGACCAGTAGTGCTGGAATATAAGTTGACGAAAAGCAAACGAAAGAAGCGCCACTTCATCGAAATGGCAGCAAACAGACAGAAAACGGCGGCAGCGGGCGGGGGCGGAGAGGGTGACTCGTCCGCGCGCGCGATGCCGCGCCGCCGCATCGCGACGGGTGCGCTGGCGACCGCAGTCGTCGGCGGGCCCTCTATACCACAGTCACTCTAACTAATCATCACACTGAAGATAGCGAAGGAGAAAACCAATTCGCCCGTTCATACAATCAATACAGACATCAGCATTATCGGTTCACTCGAAGAAGCTCAGCTGGCGCTTGGACCATCTATTTCATTGTTACCGTAGGCAACAATGCCGTTTCCCTTCGCTGGAGTTCGGGGTGAGAGGAAAGGAGGGACGGCAGGAGTTGATGTCGCTGTTGCTTACATTTGCTCCTAATAGTTGAGCTTTTACTCATATTTTTAAATGAGATGAAGATTGCTCTCCTTCGCTCCATCACAATATCAGCTCACGGAAAGCATTGAGGTGCTCTTAAAATGTCAACTCAGTCGCAAGATAATTCTCAAGGGCGCAAAAAGGTCTTGAGGTGCGTGTGCGCTCAGATGGACGCTTTCATCCTTTCAGCTAGCAGCTATTTGAAACCAGCTTTTTTCATTCTGTTCTGAACATAACAAGTCATAGGAGTGTGACTGCCGTCAATGCATTGTTCCACCCTAAAGACTAGCCTTATTTTGGCGATTTTAGAAAGAAAAAATATTTGACAAATAAATGGTACCTTATTGTAATGAAGAAGAATGAAAGATAAAGCATTTGCTGTTGATCAAATCCCTTTCCGGGATGCGGCACGCACTCCATTTGTAAAATTCGTAAACTGTAAACCATTTGTAAACTGACTTCCATTGTGTACATTCGTAAGTGGCGTTTGAATGCGATGTGGCCTATACAATGACTTGCGGGGGCCAGCCGATGTACAAGTCAGTTTTATCCTCCCAGACAAAGTCTGGTACCAATTAACCGACCCCGGAGGGATGGAAGGCTTGGTTGGCCCGGGCGACTCACGACCCAGGATTTGATCCCCGGACCGCTCGCGTGGTAAACGTGCCACTTCCACTACACCACTTCCGCCCTAGTGTGATATTATTAGATTGAACGCTTACTGTAATATGTGCGGTAACTCGAAAAAAAATTTTGACCCGGTCTAGCAAAGCGAGGGCCTGGCCATAGTCGGTGGCCCCAGTCAGGAATCGGCACGAGTGCCAGCCACGGATTCATTTCGTCAAGTGCGGCTATGTTGTTCTACTGGTTGCGCCATAAATGCTGGTAACAAATAATTATTTCACAGAAATTGAATTTTGGAATTAAGCTTGATGAAATCCTGCAGATATTTATGCAGCATCGTAGCGACGAGAACAACTAAAAGGTGATTAGATATGGCCGTTTTGGAAGTCACAGGCCAAGTTCAAGCCTCGTATAGCTACCATGCTTCTGATGAATCTCAAGAGTCCTATTTTGATGACAACTATTCCCGAAGTTAACTATTTCTCTGTAGTACACTGTGTGCAAAACTTAAGGGACGGGAACAAGGAAAACAGAAAAATTCGTGAAAAAAAAGTTTTTTTTTATCATAAACCTTTTTGATAGCTTTGTGGACCGTTTAACGGTTCCTGTTAACTGTTTTCTTTAGTGCCCTGTGACAGCTCTTTGTATGTGTGGTTAGGTTCCATAGAGTCATCTTACGCGCCAGTAACACGTCGTTGGAAAAGCTACGTTCGTCCCTAAGTTTTGCACACCAGTGTACTTTTGGCGTTCATTCAGTAAGGTGGGACATCATTTTCAAGAACGTTACGGTAGTTCTACTATTGTCCAGTGACTTTTTGTATGCATAGAGATACTCAACTCTTATTTTTCAGGTATGCCTTTACAACGTATTAAAGTTTACTCCGATCAGCTACAGCTCAAGATGCTTCGGGTGTGTTCCAGCGAAGGTACGCGCTTGTCATTTTTCCATGGAGGAAAATATATGAACTAAAAGAGAACTCAGAGGCAATGAACACGTTGAAGTGGTTCTGCAACAGAATGTGTAAGCGCCCGTGGGAGCCCTAGCCAGGCGGCCCAGGAAGCAGCGTGTGGCGTAAAGCACATTTTGTAGCGCAATCAGACTCAAAACCTAAACCTCACCGTCACAAAACGTCCCACTCCCAAGTAATAAATGACGATAAAATTATCGGCACCGTTGGACGTTCATTTCTCCTCGTGCATTTCAGTCCGAACTGGGGTGTCTTCGAATTGTGTCATCTTATAATTTCTGCCGCGAAACTTTAAACCAAACATCGTCCAAAGTCCACAGGCCGAAAGCGAGTCCCATTTCTCGGCTTTTTGGCGGTCTTTTTTTTGGATTCTTCCACTTTGCTGTACCATTCGGCTCTTCTGCTTCCATATTTGATCGATGTCAAAGGACCGGACTCACTGTATACAAACATCTAGGGCACCCACATGCTTATTGCCTTTAACCATAAGACTCACTAAATTATTGGGGAGGTTCACATCGTTTCCAGGAACCCCTTCTCCTCTTGTGCGGTAATTGGGGCTGAAATTCTTGGTAAATGGCGGAGAGCGAGAGAGAAAAAATTGTCAAGATCAGTAATGAAGCTATGCTCGAAGGAAGACATTGCGTTGGCGAAGAAACATTACAAGAATTGTGTTGCACCAAATGACGTGACAGAGCTGCTGCTCACCAATTGAAGTATGCTCGTGATTGGAGTTTTGCACCGATGTACCCGAATACATCCTTCATAAAAAATACCCGTCTGAGGTCAAACCTAGTGAGACTATGTTACAGGCGGATTTTGCGGTAAAACTACTAACTACTCGAGTGCAATGACGTATCCCACAATACTAACAAAGATTTCCTGTGATTGGTTCCTCATTGTACCTTGTAACTATTTTCGGGTGCCAGAAGTTGACAAAACTATTGAGGAATTTTTCACTATTTATGGGCCAAATAACGCGCTGTAGTATCACAACGGTGAAACTCCAGTTCGGGGGCCACTCCCTGCTATCTTATCCGTAGTACTAGAGAGCACTCCTTTGGACTATCGAACACTATGGATAAGATAATAGGTAAACGACTCATTTCAAGTGCACTTTTGATAAGGACCGGTGTATGCCCTACATCACGCACATCCTGCTCACATCCTAGGCAATTTATGGTATGTGATCGTCCACCCTGGGCTCCTACACCCTTGCGCTGGGAAAAGGATGCCCGTAACTTAGTTCAGGGCCATGACCACAGCAAGCCAAAATCTGTAAGCACCTTAGGAGTGCTTCCATACTACAAAGGTTCTTATCAGAAGTAATCCTTCTATTATATAAAGCGCTAACTTTGTGTGTCGGTTTGTGTATCTGTATGTGTGTGTATGTGTATGTATGTATGTATGTATGTATGTATGTGTGTCCGTCCGCAAAATGAAGTGAGTGAGAAGGAAGCTCATGGGATAAACAAACCGCTAACAAATCGGGTAGCTTACAGGATTTGAGATATCAATGTTTTGTAGCAGGATAGTTGTGATAACACTCTTAGGGCTATATAAACACCTGCTTAGCACACTTCCGTTCATTCCACATGGTGCTGCAGTGGCAGCTGGAGGGCAGTGGAGAGAGGAAGGGAGGATGAGGAAGGGAAGCGAAAAATCTACCGTCATATCATGGTTATGTGTCCCTTCTACTGTTTGAAACACCATTGTGTTGCATACGCGTCACTTCCACGAGGTGTTGGTGTCACAGGAGGAAGGGACCATAGCGGAGGATAGAAAGCTTGCGCAGGAAAGGAAGGTCCCGGCGGTTGACGGGGGACTAATCTGGTTTTTAATAAACCGATTACATCAATGTGTAAAACCATTATCCCTAGACAACCAGATTGGAAGCACAATTCCCCTTTCCCCCCTCCTCACCAGGGTGAAAATCGTGTCGAGTACGTGGTCGCAGAAGTACGACCCCCCCCCCGAAAATGAGATCCTGGCACGACCCCCTATAACAGAGCAAATTAATTCAATTAATTAATCAAAATAAATCCTGCAGAATAAATAAAAAAAACGCACAAATAACTTCGTATAGCATACATTACAACCCCATAGGGGGTGAGATGGATCAAAAAATTTTTTCGCTGAAACTTGTGGCGCTAGGGGTTATCGAGGCTCCTGATCACGAATATGACCTTAGTTTTTGGCGCTGGCGCCAAATTGGCGCCATTTGGCGCCAATTGGCGCCAAGGGTGTTCTCACCAAATTCGCTGTAAACTTGTGGATAGGGGTTATCGAGGCTCCTGATCACGAATATAACAATCGTTTTTGTTGTTAGCGCTATTCGGCGCCTATTTCCTGCTCAGTCTGCGC